TGGCTTTTTTATTAACTATTTCATTTAATTTGGGGCAAGTCACTTAATACTGTGAGTTTGTTCCCTCATCTCTAAAATGGAAATGAAACTTACATCATAAGATTATGTCTACATAAAATAACTTCTGTTAAATACTTGGCATATATAGTATGCCAACATAAAATAAGTATATTTTTTTAGAATTACATACACAATGTATCTACTTATAGAATATATGCCCATGTACTGGTTTCCTAGGGTTATTATAACAAAGAACCACAAACCAGGTAGATTAAAACAACAGAAATTTATTCTCTCACTATTCAGGAGGCCAGAAGTCCAAATCCAAAGTGTCAGAAGATTTGATTCCTTCTTGGGGACTCAGAGGGAGAATATGTTCTATGCCTCTCTCCTAACTTCTGGTGGTTGCAGGCAATCCTTGCCTTATAGCAGCATAACTCCAATCTCTAACTCTGTTGTCACATGGCATTCTCCCTGTATGTCCCTGTATGTCACTGTGTCTCTTCTTTTGTTATAAGGACAACCAGTCATATTAGATTTAGAGCGCACCCTACTCTAGTGTGACCTCAATCTTAACTAATCACACCTGCAAAGACCCTACTTCCAAATAAGGTGAGCCTGGCCGGGTGTGGCTCAGCAGTTGAGCGTCGACCTAGGATCCAGGCAATCAGGGTTCGATTCCTGGTCAGGGCACATGCCCGGGGTTGCAGGCTGGATCCCCAGTCGGGGGTGTGCAGGAGGGGGCCAATCAATGACTCTCTCATCATTGATGTTTCTATCTCTCTCTCCCTCTCTCTGAAATCAATAAAGATATATTTTTAAAAAAAGAAAAAAAAGAAAGAAGGTGACATTCTAAGGTTCTAGGTTGACATGAATGGGGGAGGGCACTATTCAACCCAGTATAAGTATTTTCCTAATTTATCCTTATTTTTATAATAGCTTTAACAGGCAATTATTATATTATTATAAGAACTAGAATTTTGACCTTTGGGGGATAGGAAAATGGATGAAAGCTCAGGTCATGAACTTTGAATTCCATCTATTCCTCTTCCCCGTTGTGTTGCCTTGGAGGTTACACTCTCCTTAGTTGATAGTTTTCTCATTTAGTAAACAGGGAGTAATGTTTCAGAGTATTTTGAGGATTGAATGATGCAATATATGTAATGCATTTAGCATGGTACCTGGCCCAGAGGGACAGTGCTTTACTCTAAAAGAGGCTGACTTTTGCTGTAGATGGGGTGGAAGTGAGGGTTTCTGTTCAAATAAACAAAGATGATTTATCATTTTAATCTAGTGGCAGGCTAAAAGTCCTGTTTGCAGAGCTACTTGCATTGTTTTGACTTGCCACTTTGCTACCAAGACTCCTCCATGCCTGGCTGTTCAATACTAACATGAATGATTTACCACCATTGTTGACTTGCATGCCATAGAAATGCTGGATCATTTGTCATTGTCCTTCAATGTCTAGAATTTCAGTTTGTGCATCAACTTTATAACTTTACCACTATATTCCTGAAAGCAACTGCTTAAACATTATTATCTTCTTCCTTGTTTTTTGAAATAATTTAAAAATATATACATAAATAATGTCTTTCATAAATTTAATACATTATCTCACTAAACCTTTAGAACTCTTTTAAGTGAAAAAGCAGGTATTTTATCTCAATTTTTTTTTTTCAATCCTCACCCAAGGATATTTTTTCCTTTTTCAGAGAGTGGGAAGGAGAGAGACAGAGACAGAGATAGAAACATTGATGTGAGAGCGAGACATCGAGTGTTGCCTCCCACTTGCACCCCAACTGGGGCCAGAGCGTGCAACTGAAGTATGTGCCCTTGGCCAGAATTGAACCTGGGTCCCTTCAGCCTGTGGGCCGACGCTTTAACCACTGAGCCAAACTGGCTAGTGCTCTCAATTTTTTTAAAGGAGAAAATTGATATTCAAAGTGGTTACATGACAAATACAACACTTTGCTGTACCCTGGATCAGTGGAGATGTCATAGATCTTGCACAGTACTTGATTACATTGGCCACATTCTAGTTCATTGTTGATCATTTAGTAATAAAATATAAACATTTTAATCAATACATGCAGTCTGTGGTTGTCATTATTTTATTCATAGAGAAAACTCACTACTATATCTTTGAATAGACTTAAAACGTGATTTGAGGTTATATTATCAAAATTATACTGGTCTTCTATTGGTTTGCTTGATTTAACACTCAACCTTGTTAGCTTGCTGTTTTCCATTGTGTTGAACAGAGAAGCCTGCAGAGGAAGTAACAGTCTGAAGCACTGTTTGCCATTCATGAAACACTTTTATGAGTCCAAACACTTATATTCAACTGATTGTATGGAGCGATGCACAAATACAGCACAGTAATGTAGTATCCTTTAACCCTATGTTTCCAGTCTCTAAACAGTCAAATATTCTTTGGATTTTAAGAATTTCTATATGCTATTGCCTATAATGAAGTGCATGCATAGCTAGTGTCAACATGTTATGCATCAGGTGTTAGACCACTGGGGTCTGACGGACCTGGGTTCAGCAACCCTGGTACTTGAGTCTAGCTAGGAAAGAATTCAGAGTCAAGACTCAAACTATAAGAGAACATTTATTTGGAAATTCACAAAGGTAGAAGTAATTCATAGAAGAAATGGGCTTAGGAAACAAGTTATAGAGGCAAAGGAAGGGCCTTTGGAACTTAGAAGTAAGGAAGGTAAAGGTGACAAGCCTAGGGACATGGGAAGGAAGGGGAAGTGAAAGGCATGGGAGTACTCCTGGGAGGGAAAGCCTCTGGGTCCTCATCCTAAGGGTTTTAAGGGTGGAGATTTTAGGGAAGGTCCCAGGAGACGATCTCAGTAGAATATTCAGCAGCTTTCCAGGTATGTCCTTTCAGGGTTGCGGTCTCCACTGATTGAGACCGCAACCAGTCAGTGCCAGTGAGAGGTCATTATTCAATTAGGCTCATCCTGAGGTCAGCCTTGGCTGGGGCATTGCCTGTCTGGTTTAGCTGCTTTTCTAGGCTTAGAGCTGAAATACAACTGAGGCCTAAATGTTATCCCTAGGGAGGAAAAGACAGGGAGTCCAAACTGCATGACTAGTGATATGCTAGAAGAGGAAAGGTCACCCTGAGGATGAGGTCTCAACCTAAAATTATCCTTTCCTAGGCACCCAGGGTTTTCCACCCTGGTGACCTTCTGTACCTAGCCCATCCCATCGTCCTTGCTCTGCTCATGTCTGTCTAAATGCCTACCACAAACGTAAGAAATGTCCTACCCTGTAATAATTTTTTGTGAGTTTATATGAGCCAAACTGATGACAATTGCAGGGAAGCAAAATGTCAATGGATTGAGAAACTGCTCCAGAAAATGGCAATTTTACCCCTTATTTTATACGTCAGAATCAAAGGGGAAGACGTAAGGCGATTACATGAAACCCACTGGTGATAGATTAGAGAGGCAGGAGAAAGCAAAGCAGGGACATCTCTGGGATTGGATGAAAAGGAAAATGGATAGACACGTATTTCTTTTACATAGGTGGGTATAGGATAGTTAACTGTTTACAATTAACATGATAATAATAATGAGGAACTGGTGGTCCTCTGCTCTGGTGCAGTGGTTGTGCTCCGAGGGGTCCAGAAAAAAGGAAATTACTTCTATATTCCAGAGGTACATTATCAGGTATGTTATTGTAGATGCAAAAAAAAAAAAAAAAAGACAACAGGTTCGGTTAAGGTAAAGATTTACCTTTGTTAGGGGAAAAATACTGGCCTAGGACATGACTACCTGCCATGAACTGCTTTTCTAAGGCCACAAGGCAGGCCTTCCTCTGAGTTTGTCAGGTTTAGTATGCGGCCCCTAGGCAGGCAGGGAATTTTACAGACTGACTTGTAAGATCAAGACAAATCATGCAGGGTGGAGGGGGTCAATGGGAAAAAAAACAGGGGACATTTGTATTACTTTCAACAATAAAGATAAATTTTTAAAGAAGGCAGATCATGCATTAATTTCAAATCTCAGGAAGCCCAAGGTTGTGTACCAACTACCTGAATCTAGAGACCAAATGCAACAAATTGCTGGTAGTTCATAAAAGCTGCATATGCTGTAGATTTGGTAATTTGGCTCTATATGTGTTTCAAAAGTATATCTACGCGATTCTTTTGGTTTACTTTATAGTAACTACAATAACTTCCATTTTACAACAGAGAAGGAAGCACTTTAAACAAAAGGAGACCTTAGCACATGTGTGCAGAAGACAACGCTAGATGGTTTTTGTGTCTTCTGAATTTGTTGGGAGATCTCTAATTTCTGAGACTGTGATATTCTCTTAGCCTGGTATTTCACCACAAATAAAATTTTTAACAGAACACAGATTTCATGGTTTTGTGGCTTGTCCAAACTTTCTTTTTTAAAAATCCTGAACATATTGCAGATAAAAATGATCATTTAGTTTCTAAATTTCACTTTACAAAATAAAAATATATAAATGCTTTTAAGATTTATTTCAGAACATTCTAAACCCCAGGAATGTTTATTGATATAAACCCACGTAGATTAGGCAATTTAGAGATTTAAGATAAACAGGCACCACTTTGCAGTAGATTCGGTAATGAGAAAGCATTTCAGCAGGTTCTGCCACAAAGCATTTGGGAGTCTTAAGTTAGAGCTTCAGAATTCCTTCTAAAAAAGGACAAAAGAGAGACTTCCTGTCATTTCCATTGGTTTCTGCATGTGGGGCCAATATGGGCAACACATAGTTTAAACAGATGCAAATGGTGAGGGGAGGAGGCAAAACCATACCTAGTTTTACATTTCTCCAAATCCAGATTGAATTAAGTCAGTCTCTCCTAAAAGCTTCCAGAGTAGACTTCCACTGAAGTTACAGCACACTTGAATGGTTTATTTCACCAATATTTGCTTATGGAAATAAAGGGGAGTGACAGAGGGGAAAGAGGAGGGGAGTGGAGGAGGGGTTTGGGGCTGAGGGAGGCTCTGACCACAGCACAACACACCAGTAACCCTGTCTGATGTGATCATTAACCTTTCTGGAAAAGGCAGCTGGCAGTTCTCTGAGGTTTGTCATTAGAATGTGAGAAGAGCCACGCAGATATTGCACAGACTGTTGAAAGAAGTTTGATTTACTTTGAGAGCTACTGCTCCATTTTAGTGTGGCAGAAAAATGAGATTTCAACAATTCTTTTTTGTATTTTTAATTTTTATGATGAGTCTTCTTATCAATGGACAGAGACCAGGTAAGACTTTGATATATTTGTACCAAGTAACTTGTTTTTATGCCTGTTGGTGTCCGTGGGGCTCTGAGCATGATTGTGTTTATGTTGAAAATCACTTAGTTGTGCTTGAGGGTACTGGGAGTGTGTAGGGTTTTAGAAGTATGCTATCTATCCTGCTAGGTCTATTATTTGGATGTTCTAAAAATAGCTGGATATTAAAATGATGATAAATATTTTACCACTATTTTTCTAATTTTAAAGAATATTGATCCCTTAGCTACTGTACATATGTCGTCCTTACAAGTAAAAAGGAATGGAAATGTTTGGTCTATTCATTAGAGGTAAACAAAACATATAGATTTTTAGATAAAATGCAGAATCCAAAGCAGTTTATTAAAAGAGCATGTTGCTGGCTGGAGTGGGGCAACATTAACTGAATTAACAACATATAAAAATCATAATGTGACAAATTGTAGGTGAATTCTTAAAATGGGCCAATAACTATTATTTCCAGTTATGTAATTAGATGTGTCACTTAAAACAAAAAGTACAATTTTAGTGTTACTGTACATATAAAGCTAAAAATGTCAAAAATATGTATGGTCAAGATAAATATTAACTTGACATATTTTTCAAAGATGCTATCAGTTGTGTTGTTCTTGTCCAATAAGAATTTAGTAAACAGCTATTCTAATGAGCTTTTACTTCAAAACCAAATAGCTAAGATTTCAAAGCACTGGCAAGTAAAAAAATCAGAAAGTTTTCTGACTCAGGAAAAAACAAACCCAAATTTACACAAAAAGGTAGTTATATTTATATCCAAATATGTTATATTATTGACCTGATAATATAATTCTCAATTTAGAACAGAAAATGGTAAGTAACTGGTTAAAAAGTCAGTCTCTGCCTTTTAGTTAAACAGAAGTTTGATCCTTGAGGTAATTTCAAACGGAGTCCCCTGGTGTGCCCTTTTACATAAATAAGAATAAAGTTCCAAATTAGCAACTCAGAAAGCATTCCCTCTTACCGGTCATAGGAATTGCCATTCAAACTACTACTTTTCTGAAATATGGAACACCTTGGACAATGTTCTTGTAAAATATTTGTGATTAACTTACTACATAAAATAAAAGGTCCAGAACCATTTAGGAAGAAGGCATGTAGGAGGAGGAGATTACTATTAGTTCCTGCTATTAACATGAACTGTTGGGAATGTACCTTGTGTATCTGCATCGCATTAATTTTTTATATCATAATCACATCTCAACAAATAGCAAATAATCACATTATAGTTTGGATCCTAAATATTTCCTTGCATTCCCCAGACTAAAAACCAGTTAATTTTCTGAAAAATGCTCCTAATATTTCTCTTTTTTCCCCTCAGCTAATTTGGCTACGAGAAGGAAACTACACAGATTCAGCTGCCATCAGAGGAGATGTATGCCTCTCCATTCACGAGTGCCCTTCCCCTGAGGTATTTCTGATGGGAAATAGCTTTCCTACTTTTAGGCAATGTTCCAGGTTGGATGTACATACCAAAGAATGTCTATTCTTGTTTTGTAACTTGTGATAATGGCTTTATGGTAATGTCAGTTTAAGCCGCAGGGGTGGAGAACCTTTCTCCTGCCAAGAGACATTTGGATATTTATAACATCATTCAAAGGTCATACAAAATTATCAACTTTAAAATTACCTGTGGAAAAAAACTCCTAGATTTACTGAATTCCGAGTCCAGCCTGCAGTTGCCTTGACCAAAAGATTTCTTGGGCAATATATGGCCTGTGGGCCAAACATTCCCCAACCCTGGTTAAAGGATTCTTGCTAACAGATGAAACAGTGAAATGACATGATGATTGAAAGTAGTTTAATGGGATAGATGAGGAAAATGTAGGAAAATCTTGATAATTGTTGAATCTGAATGATAGTTATGTGGGGATTAATACTATTGTGTGTGTTTGACAATTATAATTAAAAAATCAGGCACCAGTAGAATATAATTATGAAAGTATCTTTAAATATGTGTTTTGAAAAACACTGAATAGCTCCCTATGTTATCCAGAACAAGCGTATTTCCCATTAAGACCACTATGTGCTTGAAAGCACTTAGATGTATTTGCCCAACACTATATGAATGATGTGCTATCCTCAATATACAGTTTATTTTTCCTGAAAATATTTCTTTTAATATGCAAAATCAACTTGATATTAATGGCATGGCAGCTTTACAGCCTCACTCATAGAATTAGTCTTTATGGTTGCATGTTTAAGGATAAATTCTGAATAGAATTTTGCTCCTACCCCCTATTTTTTGTTGAGAGAAAAAAAAAAGATTAAAAGACCAATGATGTTTTGCACCACCACCATCATCAGTAATATCATCTGAATCAATTAACTTCAAACACTGCCCAAGTTTAAGTTATTTCATACTAAAAATAAATAACTTGGCATTCCATTGTAATAATTTTAAGCTTGTGAAGTCATAAAATATATTTTTCTTTAAAAAACGCCATAGAAATATTCCTTGGTTGTTAACATACACAGGCAATTGCTGAATTAGCGTATTCGGTTGGCCTAGAGACATTAGCATTTATGGCACTATTCATGAAGAAAGAATGGTTGCTATACCTATTGTTTAATACATGCTTTTCAAAACCAATGAGAGTCCTCAGTAGGACATTAAAAGAAGGAAGATTCAATAATAAGCATTTCAGTAATAAGCATTTCTCATGAGGACTAAGACAAAAAGCCAAGTTCTCTATGCCTGTAATCTGTAACAAATTACTCTTTGCTATCAACATATGAAAAATAAATTTGGTGAAGAATCCAGAAAGATATAATAAGTTCTTGAGACGACAATTAGTAGATGCTCAAACATGCTTTAAATGGATTTTATATGTTTAAAAAATTATTTGCTGTGTCTTGATAATGCATTTCACTCTCACATCTAAATAAATAATGGTAAAATCTGTGCTGAGAAGTGAAGTTCAAGATTTTCCCAGCACTCCTCCACAAATAACAAAGAGGAGAAGAGGCATTTCACAATAGCAAGGGAATTCCTGCATATACAGAGCAAGATACCTTACATAACTTTGAATAAAAGCCCATAGTTAGCCACAGGTTATATTGACTTTCTCTACAAACCACCTGCCATAAAAACTAGTGTTGCAAGTAAACAAGATAGAGTTGGGAAATTTGAATTGTCAAAGTTAAGAAAAAATTCTGACCTACAAACCAAATTTGTAAACTAAGGGGAAATTTGAGTGAAGGCCATATGAACTATTTAATAATAGCAATCCTTTACAAAATTAGGCTGATCCACTTTAAAGAACTACTCAGCTTACAGCATTCATTTTGTCAGTAGACTAGTCCTACATTCCAGCTACAGTTCTTTGAAGAATGGTAAAAGCCTTATTTTTGAATCCAGAGATAGTATAAGAAACAATGCAAGATAAACATTAGATAATTTCCCAAGATCTTGCTGAACCAGTGCTATAACAACAAGTGCTACCTTCAAATTTGATAGCACAATTCTCACTGTCCTAAATATCTGCACATTTTTAATACATCTTGCAACAAAACATCTTGACAACTTGATAACTGGGTAACGGCACAATAGACCTAGGTAGTGGAACTCTGAGGCAGAACCACCCTTTCATTTATTCCCTTCTGTTTTCCTGCATGCTTTAGATAAAATCACACATGGTTATTTGATTCAGTTAGGGTCAAGTAAAACTGTAAAAGGATAGGTAAGGTAAACAGTTAACTTTGGAATTTTTCCAGATTAACCCGTTAGAATGGTTTAGACTTTTAACTCACTTAATAGAAATGTTCTATTACCTTGAATGTCAACTTTTCCAGCTTCTAGTCCTCTTCAGTGATCCTCAGGAAGATTTCCTAACAATTAAATAGAAATAAACTTAATCAAATAGAAAACCTATGCTGCATACAATTCATTTTCTTGGTATTTTTCTTCTCACAGAAATATTTCCACATCACATTCAGCCCTAAGTGAATTAGACTGGAGGGAAGCAAAAGAAAAGGTGTCAGGAATTCCAAGCTTACAGTTTACTGTGAGAGGTATAGAGTAGAAAGTGGGGTAGGGGTTTTCGACTCTAATTTCCCCTTTCCAATAGTAAAATCTTACTATAGCATTGCTTTTATTTATAAATGTGTACTCTAGATAACTACAAATCCTGTTAGTACATATTCTATCTAGCTTTTTAATAATAATGGTAATACATTTTCATGGTGTAAACTTTTTTCTAACAATATGGAAGTATGTAAAGTCAAAAGTAAAAGTCTTCCCACCCTCTTGCCCATTTTCATCTACTAGAAGTAATGGCTATGAAAAGAAATTTGGTAAAGTTACCTTTTATAAATTGAGACCAGCTACTATTCTCTTGCCACCCTTTCAAAAAAAATTTTAAATTTATTGCAGTGACATTGGTTAATAAAATTATTTGGGTTTCAGGTATACAATTCTATAATTGCCACCCTTGATTACCATTCAAAATGTAAGTTTTTCTAGTTCTCTATTTTCTGCCTTATTCTTACGCCTCAAAATCATGGACCTCTTACCTCCTTGACCAAATCTCTGCCCTGCTTCCCAACTCTTTCCACAAGTGTCCTATAGTCTTGGCCATTCTCATTCCATTCTGCCATTTTGGCTGAGCAGAAAGCCAACTTTGCCTTCAGCACAGAATCTCCACTTTAGTGGAGCACTTCATGTCCAACTTTAGCAGGGCTCTCTACACAGTGCTCTTCCGCTTATTCTTAGGTGCCTCTGATTCCCATTCATTTATATTTCAAATCTTTAATGACCTCTAGTTTCTTTAAACTTCTTAACCTCTTTTTCCAACTCACAGCAAGAGATAATTCCTCTTCTCAGAGAAAATGAAGATAATCAAGCTGCAAACTCAGACCCTGCCCACAAACTACAAACATCTGTATCTGCAACACTTCCATTTTATCTTCCTAGTCTTTCACTAACAGATTCCTCTCTTAAGAACAGTCAATCTCTCTACATCTCAGGAACTTTGATCCAGCAATTACTCCCTTTCTTCCCCAGAATGTTCCTGAGTCAAAACTGGCCTATTTTCTACAAAAAAAAAAAAGTGCACCATTGACTCTATTGTGCTCTCATGACCAGCCCATGCTTTATACACACCCAAATTTCTTGAAAAGATGGCTCTTTCCTGTCCTCCCATCTATTGTCAACACACTGTTATCCGTTACATTCTGGGAAGGGTTCCTAGTGACTTTCTTCTTCTCAAATCCAGTGAACGTATTTGGTCCTAATCTCAGTTATCTAGCTGTAGGTAATATCATAGAGCGGATTTTCCTTGGTTTCAATGACACCATCCTTCCTTTTGAATATTTATCTCTGGAACAAATCACTATTCCCTTCAGGACCAGTAATGGTGTCCAAATGTATCCTTGGAATCACCTTAGCTGTCCTATGGACTCTTTAAGCTCATGTTTACAGTGTATATGCAAATCTCTACCATGGCTTCTGCACAGCTTACTCCTATAACTCGGTTCTTGATTCCAATATCATAGATGTCATCAAGAAAGACTTCCCTGATGATCCTTTGTACAAAAAAAGCAATACCAAAATAAAGTCTTTAAAAAAAAAAAAAAGCATACCTCACTCCACCCTGGTTTCTCTTTTCCTGGTTTATTTTTCTTCCATAACACCTAATGCTACCTGACATAACGTATATTTACTTTGTTATTTGTTTAGTGTCTCCCTCTCTTCATTAGAATGTAAGTTCCGTGCCCGGCCGGGCGTGGCTCAGCGGTTAAGCATCGACCTAGGATCCAGGCAATCAGGGTTCGATTCGCAGTCAGGGCATATGCCTGGGTTGCGGGCTGCAGCCGATCAATGACTCTCTCATCATTGATGTTTCTATCTCTCTCTCCCTCTCCTTTCCTCTCTCTGAAATCAATAAAGATATGTTTAAAAAAAAAAAAAAAGAATGTAAATTCCGTGAGAACAGGGACTTTGCTTTGATCATAGCTAAATGCCCAGCGACTGCAGTAAGTTCTTCAGAAATATTTGATGAATGAACACTTAAAAGTAAACTCAATTCTCCCCACTCAGATATTTCTCCTGTGTTCTAAAAATTTGGAGAATTATAAAAATACTATATATTAGATGTTTACTATGTAAGATCCCAGATGCGATGAAATATACGTTACTATCTCAATGTGAATTTCCGAACACAGTGCCCTCACATTTAGTACTAGGATTATCATTTCTACCTTGAAATACTTTTTTAAAATATATTTTTATTGATTTTAGAAAGACATGAAGGAAGAGGGAGAGAGAAGTATCTATGTGAGGAAGAAACATCAATTGGTTGCCTCCTGCATGCACCTGGACAGGGGACCAAACCCACAACCCGGGCATGTGCCCTGGCTGGGAATCAAACTGGAGACCTTTTGGTACACAGGACAATGCTCAATCAACTGAGCCACATCAGTCAGGGCTACTTTGAAATATTTTTTTATGTTCCCTTCCCTTCATCTGGATTACTACTATCTTAGTGCCTGTTACATCTCCCCAACATGACTTCAATATCTTAACTGATCACTCCAGCCTCCAGTTCTTGTTTTGGAAAGTCCATTTTTTTTAACATCTGATCTTTCCAAACTAAATCCAATCATGTCACACCATGATTAAAGTCCTTAAGTGTCCCTATAGCCTTCAGGACAGTGAGAACTCCCATAATTTAAAGAAGAGCACCTTGTCCGGCCGGGCGTGGCTCAGCAGTTGAGCATCAACCTAGGATCCAGGCGATCAGGGTTCGATTCCCGGTCAGGGCACATGCCCGGGTTGCGGGCTTGATCGATGACTCTCTCATCATTGATGTTTCTAGCTCTCCCTCTCCTTTCCTCTCTCTGAAATCAATAAAGATATATAAAAAAAATAAAAAATAAAGAACAGCACCTTATAAAATGTACCTCTTCAGCATCACCTGCCACCTCTTCTCCCCTCCCCTCTTTCAGAGGGAATAAGAAAGAATTAAGACTGTTTTGGACTTCCTGGATTTGAGCTCTGGCCATATAGTTCACTCACTGGTGATCATCAGTAAGTCATTTATCCTCTCTAAGCCTCCCTCCACTTCCAAGCCTATAAAGACAGAGCTAGAAATGGTACCTAACCTTATCATAGCCATCCCTAGCACAGAATAAGTGCTGAATAGATAGTGGTTACAATTATTACTATTACCATTACTTTAAAGTCAGTCAATTCTTCACCTCTTGCTACACTTCTGCCTGCAATGTCCTTTCTTCTTTACCTCACTATCTATTCATCCTTCAAGAATTGTTCTCTGATTTTGATACCCCTACCAATTGTATCAGATGCCCACTTTTTCCCTCAGCACCATTTGTATACTTCCATCAAAGTACTTGACCCTCTGCATTGTAATAATGTGCTAACTGACTGCACTCTTCCTCTCTACCCTCAGCCTGCTGCAAATTTCCTGAAGACAGAATGTGGTGTTCTGACTTTGTTAAATTAACATTTGTTAAGTGGAGCACCTAGAGCACAGAATGGTGAACCTTAACTCAACAGCTGTCTACAGATAGATTGCAAAACAGAAGTTTATTACTCATGGCATGCCTGGAGGGTTTATTGTGGTTTAGGTGTCATATTAAAAAAAACGCTGACTAATCCAAGGTCACAAATATTTACACCTATGTTTTCTAAGTTTTAGCACATTTATGATCCATTTTGAGTTAAATTCTGTACATGGTGTAAGAAAGGGATCCAACTTCTTTTGCATGTAGATCTTCAGTTTAGATATCTAGCGCCATTTGTTGAAAACACTGTTTTTCCCTCATTGAATTATATTGGTTGGCACTATTGTCAAAAATTAATTGAAATAAATGTCAGGCTATTTCTGGACTCTTGGTTCTATTTCATTGATCCATATGTCAATCCTTGTGTTAATACTATATGTCTTGATGATTGTAGTATTGTACCAACTTTGTAAACTGAGACTGAATCCTCCAACTTTGTAGTTCTTCAAGATTGTTTAGATTATTCTGGTTCCCTTGAATTTCCATATGAAATTTTTTTTTTTAATCCTCACCCGAGGATATTTTTTCCACTGCTTTTCAGGGAGTGTGGAAGGGAGTGAGAGAAACATCAATGTGAGAGAGATACACTGATTGGTTGCATCCTGCACTCACCCCGACCAGGGCCAGGGGTCGAGCCTGCAACCGAGGTACATGCCCTTGGCTAGAATTAAACCTGGGACCCTTCAGTCCGCAGTCCGCCGCTCTAACCACTGAGCAAAAGCAGCTAGGGCTCCATGTGAAATTTAAGGTTAGATTGTCAATGTCTGCAAAGAGCCAGCTATGATTTGGATAGGGATTGTGTTGAATCTGCAGATCAATATGGGAAATATCATCATGTTGACAGTTAAGTTTTCCAATCCATGAACATGGGATGTATTTCCATTTATTCATATCTACTTTAAATTTCTTTCAACAATGTTTTATAATTTTTAGGATACAAGTTTTATACTTCTTTTGTTTAATTTATCCCTAAATGTTTTATTCTTTTGCTGGTATTATACATAACATTTTATTTCATTTTTTTAATTGTTCATTACTAATGTATAAATACATAACCAATTTTCGGCTATTGACCTTACATCCTGTAACCTTAATGAAATTATTGATTCATTAGCAGGTTCCTTAGGACTTGCTATGTACAAGTACATGTCATATGCAAATAGAGGTGGTTTTAGCTCTTCCTTCCTTCTTAATCTGGATGTATTTTATGTATTTTCCTTGCCTAATTTCCCTAACTAGAACCTCCAGTACAATGTTCAATAGAAGTGGTGAGAACAGACATCCTTATTTCACTCCTTATCTTAAATGGAAAGCATTCTCTCTTTCACCATTAAGTGTGATGCTACCTATGGGTCTTTGTAGATGTCTTTCTCAAGTTGAAGGAGTTCCCTTTTATTCCTAGTGTGCTGAATGTTTTTATCATGAAAGAAGAGTGTTGGGTTTTGATAACTTTTTTGTCTATTGAGATTATCATGCGTTTTTGTCCTTTATTGAAGTTGTGAAATTTTCATAACTCTTTGTCCAGTAAAAAAAATTAAGCATGGGTAAATTGGTCTGCTAGTTAGTATTTCTTATTATAATGTTCTTTCTCCTTTGCCTTTCAAATATAGATCTTCTCTTGCTAACTTCACCCGGTCTGCCAGATGAAGAAGAAGAGTGAATGAAAAATATCCACCCACACAATAGTGTGCTTGCTTAGAAGTTCCTGTATGAAAAGTAATCCTTTGAAAGCACCTGGGATGTCTTATTAGTTTCACAAGATTCTCTTTTTTCTGTTTTCTTTTTAGAGGGAAAATAACATAAATTCAAAAGCAATTACAGTCTGAAGCACAGTTATTTACCTGCATAACAAAAATCTCTCATCTTTTTCTGCACATTATAATTCTTACATGGGTTAGAAAGGAAAATACTTTGTAATATCTTGAGACTTTCCAATAGTAAAAAGTGCAAGAATTTAAAATCGGTCCTTCATATTCCTATAATTTTTCAAAACTATTAAAATAACTTTGTATATGTTTGAGTGATTATTTTTAAAAATGCTAAACCTGGAATCAATTTCAATGACTATTTGGCTTTGCAGAATTAAGAAAAAATAATTGGTTCTTCAATTATTTATATACAAAGACTAAGAAAGAAGCTATTAATTGCTACCAATTTTATAGTATAGACTTTCATGTTTATGAAAGTTTTTATTTTGAATAATATTCATTCATTTATACATTAATTGTAGCTCATTTTATTTTAAAACTGAAATGTTCATTTCTGAATCTTTTTCTCATCATATAATTATGAGAAGCCAATGTTTGATTTCCTTTGAAGTTCTGTTTTATGTCCTTGATTCATTTGTACAGTTTCTTAGAAAGGCTCACTTAAATTTGACATTTAAAATATAGTTATGCCACTGAAGTCCCAAGCTGGGCAATATCTCTAACATACGAGTGCTCATCATTCAGCTAGGCTCTGTTTTGGTGCTCTTCAACCTCCTGTGGTGGTGAGACTTGGGGGGGGGGGG